CCTGGATTTTCCAAGTTGTCTCTTCTCTTCTGCTTTAGGACCAAAATTTTAAATTAATTTTAATCTCCCCACATGCATTACACATTCCACTAATCTATTATTTTTCATTTGATTATCCTAATAATTCTTACAAAACCTCCAAACGATGGAGTTTCTATTACTTTTTTTTTTTCGCGTTTCTGTAGTTTCCCCCATCAAATGTACCAACATTCTCATCATCAACCTGCTCTTGTAGTTACAATGTTGGCAGTACGGCCAGAACATATTTTAAGACTGAGTGCAGTAGGGCATAACTGCAAGATAAATGTAAGGTGAACGCTATCCTAACAGGCCGTGGAGACCTATAGAATTGTTAGACGTCGAGGCTCCCACATTTTCTAGACAATCGGCTCACAGATGGCGGTGAGGTTGTCAGCCTTAAGGGCCGGCCGTCCTTTACCCCCAGGGAGATTCCTGGTACTCATTTCTGTCAGAGGCTGAGTCGACCCCAGGGCCATAATGAGACTGGAGGGATTAGGTCAATTGAAAAATTCAAGGACCTAATCGGGAATCGAACCTTCTATCTTCTAGCTTGTAGCGTAGTGCCTCAACCAACTACACTTCCACGTGCCCCGAAGATAAATGCGGGGGACTCATATTACACCTCTTACAGAAACAAGTCACGATATGTATGCATAACTTTTCAATCCTGGCCTTTTCGCTTGTTACCGTGTCTTTCATTTCCAACAAAATTACGGAATGACCCCCCCACCATGAAAACCAGTCCAGCTTTTTTTCGAGTTATTAGACGGCAGAATATATACATACTAGTATATACATGCATATAACTTTGTTTAATTATCTCAAAACTCTAATGACTATGGAAGAAACTTACTGGAAATAAAATATAGTCTTCATTATTCCTCTACATAGTTTGTTCAAAATATTTTTCTATCAGATAAATATTTAGCGAGTTGAGGCCGAGGTGCACGCAAAAACGCGTTACGATCTACATGTAAAATACATTGCAATGCATCAATACATTTTATTTAAATTCCGCAATACCAAGTTTAATGGAAATTCTTTCAGTAGTTGAGTTCTTACTTGCAGACATAATAAAAGACAGTCACACAAGACGAAGCTTACAGTCGCATATCTTAAATTTGCTTTTACTCATTAACTTGCCAAAATATTGTCACGTAATGGAGTGATTATGCCGGTCACGGTAGCCCAGCGGTGTAAGGCAAGCACTGTCTTCGCTCGCTCGAAAGCCGGGATCGTGGGTTCGAATCCAACTCAGGGCATGGATGTTTGTGTGCGTTTTTCTGTGTCTGTCTACAGGTAGAGGCCTTGCGACGAGCTGATCACTCGCCCAAAGAGTTCTACCGTATGTGTAAGATCCAGAAAATAAAACCGAAGTGGAGTTCATGGAGGTAGGCCTAGGCACACTGGGGCTGTAGTGCCTAGGAAAAAAATGGAGTGATTATAGACGGGGTTTGGATTGGCAGTCGGATTTATTCAACACTTACAGAGTGTTACTACAAATAACTACGGCAGTCTCAATGATCTACATACAGCGACGATCACTGTAACTACAGCACACATAAATATTCTCAATTTTCACTAGCCGTTGCTTAATAGCGGCTTCAACGACGAATATTCCCTTCATCTGGGTTCCCGAACTGTCCCTGGCCTCAGATACCAGGTTTTCACTACTCACAACTGAAACTCTCAACAGACTCAACTGAATTACTAGTCTTCTTTATGTTGCCCGGGCATGGACCGAGCAGAAAACGTCTTTCCCATTATTGCGTGTTCTCTCGTTGCAGGGGTAATAATGTGTCCGCAGATCTGTTCCCTAGCAATGGCTGTTGTACTGTCGTTTGTTTCACAGCTGTTACTTGGCAATGGGTCTGCATGCCACAATATTTCTTCCATTCCATTGCTTTCTCTTATTTCGCGAGAATAACTTTCAGATCCATTTATGCGACATTTGAGGTTTTCATGACGGTGATCATACAGAGCATTGTCTCCTGGGATGTGATGCAGTACGCGTATAGTGTGGTAGGAGATTATTGACGTTTCGGAGGAACGTACTGCCTCAATCACCAACAGGATGCTGATGCTTGCTAGTCTCACTCTTCTTCTCTGAAGATAGAGGCAGTTAGTTCTTGCGAAACATCGGTACACTTTTACCGAATAACGGCGTCACAATCACAGATGGTACTCTCCTTACCTTTCCTATTTCGAGACTTGTGAGGAACACATAACAGCGAGCAAGTTTGCCGTGGAGGTACTGCTTCGGGCATGCATTCAGGAAGTGCCTAGTTTGAATCTCGGCTGGAATGCCAACTGCCCTGGTTTAGAATTTTAGTAATTTTCTTCAGTAAATGTGTGAAATTGCAGTATTGTACCTTAAATCAGTTCACCGCCACTGTTTTCGACAGTCTGTCCAATTCACTATTCACATATTAACCTGCAATTTGATGCTAAGTAATAAGGGTTACTTGCCGGTCACGGTAGCCGAGTGGTCTAAGGCATGTACCGTCTTCGTTCGCTTGGAAACTCGGATCGTGGGTTCGAATCCATCTCAGAGCATGAATGTTTAGTTTGTGTACAGGTAGAGGCCTTGCGACGAGCTGATCACCCGCCCAAGGAGTCCTACCGAATGTGTAAGATCTAGAAAAACCGGAATGAACGGAGAAGTTCATGGAGGTAGGCCTAGGCACACTGGGGCTGTAGTGGCAAGAAAAAAAAATAAGGGTTACTTAGAGCGTCGTTAAAGAAACAGTAACTAAGATAAACTAGCGCAACACCCGCTAAACATGTCAGCGTTTATTATGCAAACTTCAAAAACTATTTACTCCCCCTGATTTCTCCCGCATTCCTTTCCAGTTACCGAACGATACGTAGAGACCACTGTTTACCGCCATCTACCACGAATAACACGTACAAATAATCAATCACAAGCCATCTCCTTTAGATAATGCGCCACACTTCACTTATCGATATCAGAATACTGTCGACACTCGCAGAGAAAACATATTACAATGAAACACAATACTACTCGCTGGTTCTCGAGGTAGTACGTGACTTTTGCTCATGTAATGTGTTAACGCTCGCAAGTTCGTTGCTATGGAAACTTGAAAATACGCGATTTCACAGATTTCAGCTCACTGTCTTACTGCTTACACATGAACACAGATATATAAGCGTAGACGCATCCGTGCCGTCAGTGGCTGCAGTGAAACACGTCAGTGTGGAGATTAACACGAAAAGTTCCCGCACTCTATACACTTTTGATGCACCCTGGCGCTAATAGAAAGATGACGTGGAACTCTGTGTGGTAAGAGGGAAAGGCAAGTAGATATACCCAACTGAAAGAAAGTGGCAAAGCTTCAGTGAAAGTTGGCTCTTGAAAAAGAGGATTCAGTGATTTCAATGACCATGTGTCTCGGATATACAGAACAACGTAGATGCGTATTCCGTTCTAATGTTACTGCCAAGAGTCAAGCCTTGTATACTGAATAGGGTACATGCAGGAGATAAGGGAATTGAGGTAGGATTTCTAGCAGCGACAAGAGATTCTTTCCTGCACAGTGCCTAGACCGGCTATGCAGCCCATCCTATCCTCCTACCCAATGGCCATTGCGGTTGTATAAAGCGGCCAGGACATGAAGCTAATTACTTAATTTTATCTAGTGTCGAAATTTTGTATAAACTTTTTGAAATAAAATAAAAATAACGGATACTTTACACGAAGACCTTCGTGCGTTTAAGAGAATACGTATATCGAGTGTAATTAACTAATTAATTATCGAGAAAATAATTACCCAAAATGTTGTAAAAAGAAGACAGACCTCATATACTCTATTCAATTTCCCGAAGGTCTTCAAGTGTGTGTTAGTGTGTCTTTTGTTATTTGTGTAGTTTTTGTGCTGTGTTTTGTCTTGTGTCCTATTGTAGTACCACTGCCACCGGGCATAAAACTATTTGCAGTTTAAATAAATAATAATGAAATAGAAAAGTTTTCGTGACAGTTGAACAAAATATACACTATGCGCACTTTTCTGAATCTGAACTCTCGATAAATGAACAATGATGTCCCGAATATATCCGAAGATTACTGTAGCATCTTACACTCGATAATAACGAAACAAATCATCATTCCACCTAAGTCAAGAGGTTCACGAACGAACGAACTCCGTGATTTTAGTCCGCAAGCGAACTATACTGACCGAGCGACCGCCGTTTGTCGGCGAAGTTAGTGCCAACTGTAGCGGATAGAGGGTGTCGCTTGGTCAGCGCAACGAATCCATACTGCCATTAATTTCAGTTTTCTAGACCGGTCGTAACGAAGAAGAAAGAAAAATAAAAGAAAAATTTTAAATGAATTTTGGCAGATCTGAAATCAATTTTGTTTAATTCTCTTAATGTATGTACTACTCTGTTAGAATAAAACTTTGAAGCGTACAATTTAACAGGAGTCTCAACAGAAGTATGTGTTCCCAGTGGAGGAGCTCTTACGATTATGATGCTATTATCCGGTAATTTTGTATTCTCAGTTATCTACGTACGATATTTTGTACCCCTGAATCAGTCAATCACTATTAGTTCGACATCAGCACCCCTTCTTATCATTCAGCATGTAGTACCGTTGCTATGCAACGATCGTGAGAAGGAACATGCATTTCTTGGTAGCGGCCCCTAAATATTTACGTATTTCATTTTGAATATTTTGTGCTTGCATGTAACAGGACACTGCTTTTGGCAATCACTCTAGTAACTAATTGAATTATAATTTCTACTGCTGCTGCTACTATTTGTTGAGAGGCACAGACCATGAGAAAGTTATGGCGTTGCATTTTCCGCTACTATTGTTGTTCCTATGTCGAATGATGGCATGAAAAATCAATTACCGCAGAGCGCAACATGACGTCCTTGTGTTCAGCAAGCCGAAACTGTCTGGGAACGTCTGGGGTAGGGGTTGTACTCGTATAAATATGAAAATATTACCCTACCTGCTGCTCCTGGGGTTGCTGTTCTTGCACTGACACTCCTGAGGGCTCCAGGGGCAGAGATACTACAAGCTGTACCGCTACACACAGCACACATGGCAACAGGGCTCGCATCTTCAAGGCTGAAACAAAGCGCTCAGTTAGGTAGATGTGACAACCTCGGATATTTTGTCTCATGTGTTATGACAATATAAATTCTGATAGGTCGGTACCGACGTTTCGGAGGAACATACTGTGCCGGATACCCTAGAGGATGAATCAGTAATTTCTTAATAAACGCTGGTAACGGCGTAATAGAAATTTTCCTGTAATAACCTGCAAGACTTCAGTATGAATATTCTCCATCTTGAAAAATTAAAATATTATACAGTGAAGCTCTTTTTACTGTCACAAAAAACAGAGCCAGATATGAGATTTGAAATTAAAGTGGCGGTGAATATCGATGATGTGACATGGTGTAGTTTGTTAGACTGGTAACAACGTTTCTAAGTTTTCATTTCATGCATCCTGTTGTGTTATAATATACAATTTCTTTATTAAAACCGTCACAACACAACTATATCAAGGTCAGTGACTAGTCTGGATCTGCTATATGTTTCGGCTATTAAAAGACATCATCAGGCAAATACATGGCTAACATATATACACAACTGAACTGCAGTACTAATAAAATTGGATACAATAATATTAATTATATTAAAATACTTGACGTCAGAAGAAAGTAGATGATTAGTTCATCCGGAAATTCTTATTAGTGTGAACATTCTGTCGTATGAGGTTACATAAATGTCCCGGCTCTATATTGTAGCCTTCACAAACCACGTATGTTTACAAGAAGGAGAATTAAGCTCAGGAATTAAATACATAATTTAGCTAACTGTCACGAGCACCGCAAGGTCGTAGCGATATCTAGCGATTACTATAGAAATGATCACATAACACTCCCTAGAAATAACAAGGTTTGAGTAACATTTGCAGTAATGGCTTACATAATTTCACCCTGAGTAATGTCTTTATTCTCCTGAAATCAGCCATAATAGCCAGGCATACAATATACCGCGTGTCTCAAGAACATCAACTCTTTGTTTTCTCATAGAATACAGACACAGGCTGCCCCAAAGTATATTGGGTTGTGTAGACGGGCACAACATCAACAATCCCGAAATACGGTATTTACGCACGTATAGGCCGCGTGCGTGTATAGGCCGCAGCATAATTTTCAGACAGAAATTATAGAAAAAATAATTTTCTTGGAATATTATTTCAGGAGTAGAACACCCTGTATTACTAATTGTGAATATTTTTAAATGAAGTGTGATTTCGAATATAAGCCAC